TGATTTTCTCACCCAATAAAGGAATATTTAATAGATCAGTCTGCTCTTAATTTTATCAGAAACAGTTTTCACAGCTCGTACATTTTCTTTTTACACATATATGTAGGCATTGAGCCAAATTTAGTAATGCCAACAAATTAAAAGAACAATATTTGCCTCTTATATATAATACATCTATATATACACTGTCTAAGATACTTGTCTTTGAGTGAAGGTGATAAGAAATATAAATAACTGCAACTTGAATCTTTACTGAAGTTCAGTATTTGACACAGAGTTCAAGTTCACTGCTGGAATAACTAATAATGATTAATATAATAATAACTTTAATATTGCCCATATTATATTTACATTACCAAAGTGAGATGACTTTAGTCTCATGAACAACATAAGCTAATTGTTATTTACTAGCTAATCTTACAATGAGTGTTCAGTACAGAAATGAAGCTGAACAATAATGTTTTTACAGTCCCGTGGTCTCAGCCTCAGATACTTATCAAACCAAACAAAGCTCATATAAAAACAAACAGATGAACAAAAACAATTTCTCCTTCATTTCTATCAAACAATGCTGTAAGAAACGTTTCTAGCAGTTAGTATCATGGTTGCTAGGCAACCTGAGCAGCACAGGCTAGACCGTCCCATTTTACAAGCCTCGCACTTCCGGCCTTCTCAGTCTTCGGAGGACCCTGGCCCATGTAGACCGTGAAGGCTGGGTCCTCCGAAGGAAGCAGCCCCTGAATTTGGACACAGCCTTAGAGTGGAGATATCTTTGGGGAGGTATGAGGGGCTGGCATCAGTCAGTGAGGCACCCTGACCCCGAGGAGTAGGTATGAGGGGTCCCATTTTATAGCCAGGATACACACGGGGGTAAAAGCACCAGGGTGGTCCTGCGGAGTCAGGCAGAGGGGCGTAGCAGCATCCTCTGTCCTCACACTCGCTCTGGCTGAGCAGTTTGTCCCTGCCACAGTCAAACCGACTCTCTGGGGCCATGGCGCATTCACTGCCTCTGGAAATATTACATTTCTGGGATCTTTCAGGATGTATATCCCGACTTGAATTGTTCTGTGGCTTTGCGGGATAATGAACAAGTCGTCCATGTTCTATGATGTCATGTCGATCATCATGAACTGACCTAACCTATCAGGCTTCACTGGTGAAAAAGCAGTTCATGAACAAACAAGCGAATAAAGAAAATGCGAAGAGGAGCACAGCTACAGTGAAGTGAGACAACAGACCCATCGTGCACTGCTCAGCTAGTTCATATGTGAGCAATTTCAAAAGACTTTTATTATGGAAGGCAAAATCAGACTGACTTGAAATTGACATGGTATCAGAGGTGGTATGTGAGGTTGGATGCTGTTGATCTAGGCTGAAATTATCCTGTGGAAATGGGCAATTTTCCATTTAAGAGTATTCTGAAGTCATGATATATAGGCACTGATATATGGGCAATTTGAAAGGGCCATTACTTTGAAAGGCAAAATCAGACTGACTTGAAATTGACATGGTATCACTGTGAGGTTGAATACTGTTGATATAAGCTCCAATTATCCTGTGGAAACAGAATTTTAACTTTTAAGCCCATTATGAAGTCACTGAAAGAGTAGTTCAAAAATGAAAATTCAGAGGGCTTTTTTTCTTTGAAATCCAAAAGAAGATGGCTTTGATATTGACATGGTGCTACTAGAGTACAAGGGTGTGTCATTTGGGTCCAACATTAGAGTGTGAAATCAAAACAAAATGATATTTGTTATTGTGTACTTAATTCACTTGAAGTTGTTGCTTTTATTTTGAAATCAGGTTAGGGGGCTTTTATTTTGAAAATCGGGCTTCAGGAGCTTGTATTTTGAAGTCAGGTTTCAACATCTCTTCACGTAATACTTGGAATACACAGGGAATGCAAAACAAATTGGAGGTAGTGATGTGCGGATCGATGCTGAAATATCGATTCCTCCGATACCAATCATTTATGTTCTAGAATCGATTCTCACATTAAAATATCGATATTTTAGTAATTTAGGGTAAATTTCTAGTTTATCATTAACAGAAACACAGTGAAAAGAAACTATAACATTCGGATTGTCTACATTC